TCTGACCCTACCAGCAGAATGTCACAGCAACCAGTCTGCACATTCTCCTCTGACCTCTGATCTCAACAAGGCATTTTCGTCCACACAACTGCTGCTCACTGGATATTTTCTCTTTTTCGGACCATTCTCTGTAAACCCTAGACATGGTTGTTTATGAAAATCCCAGTAAATCAGCAGTTTTTGACATACTCAGACCAGCCAGTCTGGCACCATCAACCATGCCAGGTTCAAAGTCACTTAAATCCCCTTTCTTCCCATTCTGATGCTCAGTTTGAACATCAGCAAATCAACTTCACTGTCTCTACATGCTAAATGCATTGAGTTGCTGCCATGTGATTGGCTGATTAGCAAAGTGTGTTACCAAGCAATTGAACAGGTGTACCTAATAAAATGAGCAGTGAGTGTACACTTATTGGGATTTTTTTTTTTGCAAAGAGATGTAGCAGAATACATTTTGGTCTAAAATGATGAAGAAATAATTTTTTTTAAAATGGTGTTATTGGATATGTTGTAGGCTCGGTTTACACTATTGCAGGCTATGCGGACCGAGTTTGCTGGGGCATGGCACCCTATTCATTTGAATGGACTGTGTGCCCACATTTCCACACAAAAAGGTGCATGCACCTTTTTGAAAATGCACCTCAGGGAAACTGCATGGTCTTTATTACCATGCAGTTTCCCTGTGGTTCCCGTACCCAGAATGAATGGCAGCCCTGTGTGTCTCGTATGAGCAGTGCGATTCAGCTGCACGTAGTTGCTGGTGCAGGAACAGGTACAATTCCTGCACTCGCAACCAGCTTGCATAGTACTTAACCGAGCCTTATATCACAAAGTAAAAAATATTGTTTTTTTTTCCCCAAATTTTTTGTTTGCTACAATTTTTTGCTACAATTAAAAATAAAAAACCCAGTGCTGATCAAATACCACCAAAATAAAGCTCTATGTGTGTGAAAAAAACGGATAAATTTCATTTGTGTACTTCGTTGCATGACTGTGCAATTACCGGTTAAAGTAGCGCAGTGCTAAATAGCAAAAAATGGCCTGGTCAAGAAGGGGGTAAAACGTTCCACAGCTGAAGTGGTGAAAGTCAAACTAAAGGCAAACTTTTATTTTTTTCATTTTGGATAAAGTAAGGCTGGCCATACATGGGACAAAATTCGACTGTCCGAAAATCAGACCTAAGAAAAATCGGCTGATTTTCGCTCTGTTAGTGGGTCAATGGCAATTTTTTTGTGATTCCTCCCCTTTTTGGTGATCAGACATGTTGAAAAATTCCTGAAAAACGACTGATTTTTGAGTCAACGATGGTCAAATCGTACGATCGCTTTCCCCGAAAAGAATATGCGCTTGAGCTGTGACCTGGAATGAACAGAAGTTTGGCCTGTTATATGGGTTGAACTTTATGACTTGGTAGACCGATTTTCGAAATCATTGATAGCACCATCGGATTACCAAGCGAACAACATTTTAGATTATCGGATGAAAAATCGTTCGAATTTCGAACCATGTATGGCCTGCATAAGGAAGGGTTTTAGCATATTTCAGATTTTTTTCTTCCATTTGTGTCCCTATGGAGAGAATTTTCCTTCACTTCCTATCTCATAGCCAAAACAAGAAGTAAGAGGAAATGTTCTTGTTCCTGTTCTGGTTTCAACCAAAAATTTGGGATTTCCTCTTACTTTCACTTTTGATGATAACAGTGAACAGGTCAAATAGGGTGAATCTCAGTAACGGGGGTACAGACAGCTATAAAAACTGGCAGGTGTTCTAATCCATCTCCACTCTGTCCAAAACTAAAAAAAAAATTTGCCTTTAGTTCTACTTGAACGCTTTCTCACTTTATCCAAGAGCTAAAAAAACCAAAATGGGTTGGGGTTTGGCTTCAAAATATATATCTGACAAATCCAACTGCCTTCTAAAGCCTATGTCTTTAAGATTGCAGTAATCTCCTTGCTGGACTGGTTTGTTCCCACAATTCTCGTTCTACTTCTTGGAAACTTCTCGGAGTGTAAAACTAAAGAGGGTAAACAATATGCAGTATGTTCGTGTTTACAGAAGAACATAATAGTCGTCTGGTTGGTGAGTGTAGACAAGAGTTTGCGGATACTATGGATCATATACTGTATACTGTAGTGTTCCAATACAGACAGGGGCAGACTGACACCTCATGGGGCCCCCGGGCAATAGGGGATCATGGGGCCCCTGTGTCCTTGCCCAAACTCAAAAAAGCCTATGAAAAAGGTACCAGGGGCATCTCATGGGGCCCCTACTGACCCCGGGCCCTTGGGCAGTGCCCGAGTTTCCAAATGGTCAGTCCGCCCCTGAATACAGAGGAACAGTAATGACAGCTAACAGAACTGTAACATTTTTATTAAGCCTTTAGTTTTCTTAAACACAAAAGAACAAATATTTTGCTTTGAAAATTCAGTTGTCCTGAAATTATAAACATTGATTGCTCAGCATATACACATGAAGTCTGTATATTTAAGATCTGACAACAGTAAAACAAATGCCTGTGAGAGACTTTGACAGGATAAAGCTGGGGTGACCATGTACTTAGGAACTGAGTAGCTGGTTATAAATGTAACCATCCTCTGTGAACAACAGATCTTAACCACGTGCCCTCCAGAGGATTTACCCCCCTTCCTGACTGGGCCATTTTTGCGATACGGCGCTGCGTTACTTTAACCGCTTCAATACTGGGCATTTTTACTCTCCCTTCCCAGGCTAAAATTTTCAGCTTTTAGTGTTGTTGCACTTTGAATGACAATTGTGCGGTCATGCAGCACTGTACCCATAAAAAATTTGTATAATTTTTTTTTTCACACAAATAGAGCTTTCTTTTGGTGGTATTTTATTTTTTGCTAAATAAACATAAAAAACTTTGCAAATAAATAACATTTGTTCATACATTTAGGTCAAAATGTATTCTGCTACATTTCTTTGGTGAAAATACCCCAAATTAGTGTATATTATTTTGTCTGTAGGAAAGTTATAGAGTTCACAAACCATGGTATATATATATATATATATATATATATATATATATATATATATATATATATATATCTGACAATCGATCTATCCTGATGTACTGGCGGCCCATCTTATTTCGTGAGGCCTGAAAACACTAGGATAGTACAAATACCCCCCAAATTACCCATTTTTGGAAAATAGTCCAAGGTATTTAGTAAGATGCATGGTGAGTGTTTTGGAGGTTATAATTCTTTGTTACAATTTTTTGGAAAATGTAGAAATTAAAAAAAAAAAACACTTTTTTTCACATATTGTCACCAGTCCAGTCCAGTGTTATTATATAACTGGTGTGGCGGTGTGATCAGGGACACTGACCAGTGACAGTATGTAAAAAAATAAAAAATAATAATAATTAAATGTTTTTTCAGTTATTTTATTATTATTTTTTTTATTACATTATTTTTCCTTTTTTTACTATTTTTTTTTTTCAACACACTGTGACCAAAGCAATACAATGTTACCATAGTAGCTTTGAAATACTCTGGGCAAGTGATCAGGATTTTTTTTTTTTTTTTTTTATACATTATAATTGCTAATACCAATGTATTTCATTGATATTTGCAATCATTGTTACTGAATGAAACCGATTCATCCAGTCTTTTGTTGTGAATAGCTGCGATTGGGCAAAGCTCATCACATGATACAGAGGGGCTGTGATTGGTCCTGTCTGTACCATGTGACTGCTTTGACCAATCACAGCTAACACAATTGTATACAATGAATGGCATGACATGAAGCCATTCATTGTATACAATTGACATGTGATCTGCTGCGATTGGTCTCAGTGTTCACATGACACTGGCAACGGGGAGGTGTAGTGATATGTCATCGGCTGTGTCCCGTGGACACAGCCGGTGACAGATCGCATCGCTGCACGGCCCTGTGGTCGCACGAGTGGCTCCTTTTGACAAGACGTCATATGATGCCCAGTCACAAGGAGAAGTGTCCCACCCGGCCGTCAATCTGCTATAGGCAAGGCGGGAAGGTGTTAATTGGCAATTGCGCGGTCATGCAACACTGCACCGAAATGCAATGAATGTCCTTTTTTTTTTACCACAAATGGAGCTTTCCTTTGGTGGTATTTGATCGCCTATGTGTTTTTTATTTTTTGCGCTATAAACAAAAAGATACCGACAATTTTGAAAAACAAAAACAATATTTTTTACTTTTTGCTATAAAACGTATCCAGTATAAAAATTAGAAAAATCTAATTTCGTCATAAATTTAAGCCAAGATGTATTCTGCTACATGTCTTTGCTAAAAAAAATGTGAAAGTTATAGTGTCTACAAATGGAGGTATATATACTGGAATTTTTTTTAAAAATGTTATTTTACTAGTAATGGCTGTGATCAGCGACTTATAGCGGGACTGTGGTGGGCATTCTGACAGTGGGGGGAACTGACTGTCACTGACATCCCCAGTGACATCAATACAGTGACCAGTGCTAATAAAAAGCGCTGATACTGTACTAATGACACTGGGCAGGAAGGAGTTAACATCTGGGGAGATCAAAGGATTAACTGTGTGCTGTTTTACTGTGTGTTGTGCATGTGTTTTACTGTGTAAGCACATTGCTTTGTATTGCTCTGCCGTCCGGGACCCAGTGATCGACAACTGAAGCCGCCAATGGCAGCGTGAGGGTAGCGTGTGTAAATGCAGCCCCTACCCAGAAATACAACACACACATATATATTGGATTTTGCACAGCACTGCCACCCTGTAGCAGTATTTCTGCTATAGGGTGGTGGCCAAGAGGGAACTGAACTCACACAGCAGAGTTTGCATTGTGGTAACCAACATGTGAGTGGGTCCATCATGCTTGTACACTAGGGGTACGTTTCCCCAAGGGCGTGCTCACCAATGCCCAGGACCAGGCGGAGACTGCAATCATGTGAAAAATCTTACATTAAAGTGTTACTAAACCCACAAAAGTAAAATCAGTCTATATATGCAGTAAAGCATGCTTGTTATACTCACTGTGGAACATAAGGGGTTAATCCTCTGCAGTGTGTAAAAAAGGATGTTGATCCGGTCTTCCCTGATCCTTCCTTACTTCCACGTTCTCTGCATTTCATCTCCTGATAGAACAGAGCCTTGGGGACACTCTGCACATGCTCAGTTTGGTGTGTCTTGCTAGAGAGTTTTTTCTTTTACTTGGGAGGGTGCATGTGATCAGCACAGGGCCAATCAGCACTGTCCAGACAGAGGGTCAGGGGTTATGCAATTTCATAGGGCAGCGGGAGGGGAATGAAAACTCCTACAAGCTTTAAACAGTGCTCAGCTGGACACTGATAGAAGTCACAAGCCTGCTCTAACTGCTGATGAGAAAAGGTATTTGGCAGTTTATATTTACTATAATAATTGCACTTCCATGTTCTATGTACTGTGGGAGACCAGATATAGTGAACGCAGGGTCCTGGGTTTAGTAACAAATTAATGCGAGTTTTCTGTTAAATGATGTCCCATGGCTCTGCACTCCATGACTTCTACTTGTTGCATTAGAAGAGGCATGCCGAACCATCTTCATCAGCCAGCGTACCTCTGTTACCTCACTCCCAGTAACAATAAGATTCTGAAGGACACATAGCGCGGATCTCATGCGTGTCCTGTGTTAACTCCTTCACTCCTGTACCATGCGGTTAGGCTGAGGGTCCCAGTAATGCTGTTCTCAGTTGTTATGGGATTTGGACTGCTAGAGAGGGAGCCAAAGCAGAGACCCCCCCCCCACTATCAGAGGGCACCCCACCTTACCCTGGTACTACGCCTCGAATTGGTGCCATGTGTCATGCATATACACTTGACTACTCTTAGTACTGGCCTTGTTCCCTTCTTACATGCTGACTTGACACTGTAGTGTAATGTTCTTCACACCCCTCTAGTGTATTCCAGGCCAGGGGCGGACTGACAACTCATGGGGCCCCCGGGCAATAGGGGATCATGGGGCCCCCATGTCCTCGCCCATACCCAAAAAAGCCTATGAAAAAGCCAATGAAAGGTACCAGGGGCATCTCATGGGCCCCCTACTGACCCCAGGCCCTCGGGCAGTTTCCCTAAGTGCTCAAATTGTCAGTCCGCCCCAGTTCCTGGCCCAGGTTCTTTTGGATATGCCAGAACCAACATGCACCCCTTGAATAACTTCTGACCAAGCTCAAACAGTTAATGCAACTTTTACCAGGGGCATATTTACCACAAGGCAAACAAGGAATTTGCCTAGGGTGGCATTTTTTAGGGGGGCATCACTGAAGGGGCACGTGTGGCATGGGGACCAGGTGGGATCCGAGAGGGGCTGCTTTATGGTGTATGCAGAGCCCCACTGTCACTCCTGGGGATGTCCAGAGCTGTGAAGGTAAGTGTCTTTTTCTGGAGATGGGGCGGGAATGTTGTTGGTCACTGTCAGGCTCTCTCCGCAGGGGGGGCGCCCGATTTCTGTGTTGCCTAGGGCAGCACAAAACCTAAATACACCACTGACTTTTACTGGCCAAGTTTCAGCATAACAGTTCAGTATGAACAGAGTCTTTGTCCCTAAACTAGCTACAATGGCAGATGGCCCAGGCATACCTTCTACAGGTGATGGTCCATATTGGCAGAGTCCATTCCTGGTGGTTTTCTGGTTCCTTCGGTGGTAATGTTAGAACACATTGGACCTTTCTTCTCTTTGAGTTTCGGCAGGAACAACAGTGAGCTTTTGGGCCTCAGTCTTCCCCCGATTTTATATCACAGTTGGGCTGGCTGAAACCCAAAAAGCCTGCAAACCCGGGAACATATTAACCCCTTCACAAGGCAGCCCGGGCCGGTCCCTAACCGCTTTCCAACCTTCTTACAAACAGTGCCGGGACAAGGCCAGGGTAAAGATGCCAAACTGGATAGAGTAGTGGGCAGGGCTAATAACGATTACATATGTAATGGCTGTGGCATGCACTAAAATAGTGCCAATGGTTGGGCGCACCACAGCAAAATTACGAGTTTATTAGCAGCGCATATTCTGTCCTCCAGAAAAATATGGGGCTAACAGTGGCAAGAGAAGAAATGCCCCAGCAGGAAAAAATACTCTTGTACCAGTGGTGTCAGAATAGGGAAAAAAAAGTCACTGTATTGGTGGTGTTACTGGGAGGAACAAATGTCCCTGTATCAGTGGTGTCACTGGAAGCAATGAAGCTCTCTGCATTGGTGGTGCTTCTGGAAGGAACAAATATCCCTGCATTGGTGGTGTCATTGGAAGGAACAAATCTCCCTGCATTTGTGGTGTTACTGGAAGGAAGAAATGTCCCCGTTTCAGTGGTGCTAATGAAAGCAACAAATGTTTCTGCACTGATGGTGTCACTGGAAGGAGCAAATCTACCTGCTTCAGTGGTTTTACTGGAAGGAAGAAATATCCCTGCATTGGTAGTGTCATTGGAAGGAACAAATCTCCCTGCATTGGTGGTTTTACTGGAAGGAACAAATATCCCTGCATCAGTGGTATCATTGGAAGGAATGAATCTCCCTGCATTGGTGGTGTTACTGGAAGGAACAAATGTCCCCGTATCAGTGGTGCTAATGAAAGCAACAAATCTCTCTGCACTGCTGGTGTCACTGGAAGGAACAAATCTCCCTGCATCGGTGGTTTTACTGGAAGGAACAAATATCCCTGCATCAGTGGTGTCATTGGAAGGAATGAATCTCCCTGCATTGGTGGTGTTACTGGAAGGAAAAAATGTCCCTGTATCAATGGTGCTAATGAAAGCAACAAATGTCTCTGCACTACTGGTGTCGCTGTAAGGAACAAATCTCCCTGCATAGGTGTTTTTACTGGAATTAACAAATATCCCTGCATTGGTAGTGTCATTGGATGGAACAAATCTCCCTGCATTGGTGGTGTCACTGGAAGGAAAAAATCTCCCTGCATCGGTGGTTTTACTGGAAGGAACAAATGTCCCTGCATTGGTGGTGTCATTGCATCAGTGGTGTTACTGGAAGGAACAAATGTCCCTGCATTGGTGGTGACATTGCATCAGTGGTGTCACTTGAAGGAAAAAATGTCCCAGCATCAGTGGTGTCACTGGAAGCAGGGGTGTATTTACCACAAGACAAACAAGGCATTTGCCTAGGGCGGCATTTTTCGGGGGGGGGGGGGGGGGAGAAGGGATGGAAGAAGGGACACACACGGCATGGGGACCTGGTGGGTTCCGAGAGAAGCTGTGTGTTTCATGACGGTGTATGCACAGCCCAACTCTCGTTCCTGGGGATGTCCGGAGCTGTGAAGGTGAGTGTCTTTCTCTCTCTCACCATGGGGGATGGAGGCTGGTGTATGGGGGGCAGTGGTAGTGGAAGGCTCGGGTGGAGGGCAGGGGTGTTCTTGGTCAATGTCAGGCTCTCTCTGTGGGGGCGGGGTGCCAATTGTTTGTGTTGCCTAGGGCAGCACAACACCTGAATACACCACTGACTGGAACAAATATTCATACATCAGTGGTGTCACTGAAAGGAAATATGTCTCTGTATTGGTGTCACTGGAATGAAAAAATGTACTTGTATCAGTGACATCACTCGAAGGGACACATGTCCATGCATCAGTGAGGTCACTGGAAGGAAAAAATGTCTCTGTATCAGTGGTGTCACTGTAAGGAAAAAATGTTCCTGTATCAGTGACATCACTGGAAGGACACAGGTCCATGCATCAGTGATGTCACTGGAAGGAAAAAATGTCTCTGTATCAGTGGTGTCACTGTAAGGAAAAAATGCCTCTGCATTGGTTGTGATGGAGCCTGCCACTAAAAGAGAATGCTTATCTAGCTGGTTGTCCCTTGGTCTGACCTAGAGGGATAGCAGTCTTCTCTCTTGATCAGATTAAATTCTGTGCCAGTAAAAGGGTGTGGGTGGTAAAACGGGAAGGCTGGGTGTTACAGTGCAGCACGGCTGTGTAGAAGTGCAGGAAAAGGCTAGGCGCCTGGTTGTTTCTGACTGCAATACATTTTGAGTTACTGACCCAGAATAAGCATGCAGCCAGCAAAGTCATTGCCTACTTGGTAAAGGTCAGAAAGTATACTCAGAAAATATTGAAGCCTTTGGATCAATATAGAAGCTAGGCAACTTGCATTTTTGAAGGGAGAATTCAGCAGCCTACATTTGTTAATACAGGTTTCCTTGAATAAACCCTTTGATTTACCTTGTGATGGGGAAAACAAGAACTGTTGTTCTGGACTGACATGTCAAGGCTGAGGGTGTATATTTCATAGGGACCTACTGCCATCTACAGACTATGACGCAAATTGCAGCGTGAGCTTTTTCTTCTGTCTGAGGTCAGTGAAGTCAAATCTTACTGTGTTCTGACCTCTCACTGCATGCAGAATAACAGAAATGAACAATGCCATTGTGTTATGCTCCACTAAACAAGATTTCCTTCACAGCCTTTAATCAAGGTCACTTACAAGGCCACAAAACTCCCCTTTTCCTCCTCACTGAATAGATCTGCAAGTAGGGAGTTTTCGCTAAGATTGTTAGAACATTAGCTGGTTTGGCTAAATCTTTATCTTGTGTCTGTAGCAGTATACTCCCTGGAATGTTTTTTTTATCTAAGTGGAATGAAGGAATTGGAATACAGTGTAATATTTCAAATCTTAACCACTAGCCTACAGGGCACTTATACCACCTTCCTGCCCAGGCCAATTTCCAGCTTTCAGCACTGTCACACTTTGAATGACATGCAACACTGTACCCATATGAAATTTTTATCATTTTCTTGAGACAGATAGAGCTTTATTTTGGTGGTATTTAATCACCTCTGGGTTAATTTTTTGCTAAACAAACCAAAAACCACTGAAAATTTTGAGAAAAAAACATTTTTTCTTAGTCTTTGTTATACGATTTTGTAAATAAGTGATTTTTCTCCTTCACTGATGTGCGCTAATGAGGCTGCAGTGATGGGCACTGATAGGCTGCACTGATGGACACTGATAGGTGGCACTGATGGACACTGATGAGGAGGCACTGGTAGGTGGCACTGATAAGCATTGACAGGCATCACTGATGGGCACTGAAAGGCAGCAAACATATATGGCATTGATAGGTGGCACTGATAGGTGGCACTGTTAGGTGGCACTGACTGGCACTGTTAGGCGGCACTGACTGGCACTGATTGGCAGCACTGATAGGTGGCACTGATCGGCATTGATAGGTGGCACTGACTGGAACTGATAGGTGACACTGAAAGGCAGCTCAAATGGGCACTGATATGTGGCATTGATGTGCACTGGTAGGCACTAATATGTGGCATTGATGTCACACTGATGGGCACTGGCAGGTGGCATTGATGGGCACTGACAGCTGGCACTGATGGACACGGACAGGTGTCCCCTCTGAGGAATGCCAATTACCGGCTCTCCTCTCCTCTCAGCATGACAGCTCATGAGGAGAGAAATATTGATAAACGGCATTTCCCTATTTACATGCAATCAGCTGTGATTGGACACAGCTGATCACTTGACCGAGCCGACATCTTCGGCTCTTTCTGTTGATTGGTGATCCGCTGTGTCCGAGGGACACAGCGCACCACCGATCGCCGCGCTGCGCGCCCCCGGAGCCGCGCATGCGCGGTTAGAATGGGAGGACATCATATTACGTCCTCCCAGAATGAGTGAACTGCCTTGTGCCTGTTATTACCTTATATGGCGGGCGGTAGACAGTTAAAGTGCTTCTAAGATCCCCAGTCGCACCGGGTGGGACTTGGCATGCGATTTGCAAATCGCATGCCAAGTCGCACCCTATTGTCCGTAATTAGAGCTGTCATATTGGTGCGATTCCGACTTGGTCAGAGCCGCACTGATTTCGAGAGTAGTGCATGCACTACTTTTGGTGCGAATTGCATAGACATCTATGCAGATGTCTTGCAAGTTGCACCGCAAGTCAGAATGACATCCGACTTTGAAATCATGCAACTTTACTGTAAGTCTCACGATTTCAAAGTCAGGATCGGTGTGACTGGGGGGTAAACCCAAAAGCAAAAATTTTATATCTTCAAGTCCACTAGTTCTTAGATGTGGTAGCTGCATTACTTTTATTTCTTCATTCTTTTTATTATATTTATTTTCACTTGTTGGTTCTGCCAGTAACATAGTTCCTATACTAGGGTGACAACGCTTACTCACTGTACTGCATCTATGAAGGAGCAGCATTGGACAGTAGGCATCTGCAAATTGTTTTGTTACAAATCAAAATTCGGAGGAAATTTTCATTATTTAGAGATCTGGATGTATCAGAATTTCCAAATCACAATAGAATCAAGTTTCAATAAATCTGAAATAAATTATAACAAAACTAATTATCCGAATTCAAATTAAAAAATGGGAAGATATTGCAATAACTACATTAGGGTATAAAAGTGAAATAACATGATGATTCCTACTTAAGCAGCTTTACAGAAAAGAATAGAATAGAATAAAAAGAATAGAAAGAATAAAACAGAATAGAAAAAAGAGTAGAATAAAACATAATAAAATGAAATAAAAAATAAAGGAATAGCATAGGACAGTATAGAATATAAAAGAATAGAATAAAATAGAACAGAATAGACTAGAAGAAAATAGAACGACTATAGCAGTCTTCCGAAATTCAAATTGCAAATTGATTTGCAAATAACGAATATAAGAAATGAATCTGCTTACAGTATATAAAATGGATTCCGAAAATGAATAATTCTAACATAATGAAAATATTGAAACCAAAAATTGTTAACGAACGAATCCGAAATGAAGCAAAACAAATTTTTTCCATCGTGCATCTCTATTGGTTAGGGCAGGACTACAGAGAGCCCCCACCCCCCATTTCTCCATAACATATGCGGGAGGTGTTCTGTAGTCAACAGAGATAGCTGGAAACAGGGGCGGACTGACCATTTGGAAACTCGGGCACTGCCCGAGGGCCCGGGGTCAGTAGGGGGCCCATGAGATGCCCCTGGTACCTTTTTTCATAGGCTTTTTTGAGTTTGGGCAAGGACACAGGGCCCCATGATCCCCTATTGCCCGGGGGGCCCCATGAGTTGTCAGTCCGCCCCTGGCTGGAAACCATGTAAGTGACTGCAGCACAGGCAGATAGTGCAGGAAGTTATAAGATTTCTGGCAGGATCAACCGGTATTTGTACATGTATTGAACAAATATAACAACATTTTTTGAATGATGTATTTATCAAACCAAACGAGAACAAAAACAAAATTTGCAGATGCTGTAAAAAAAGATATAGAACCTTATGCAACAATAAATAAATAATTTGTGTTTATCAATGATAAATGATTCTGCTTTACAATATGCAGTAATATCAGCAGCATTTACTTGCCTTCCCCCACAAACCCTACACTGGGCCAAACCTGAACCTCATCCCTATCCCCTCATCCTCGATTCAGATCTGTGCGGATGGTGCCGCTGCGGGACCCACACTAAAGCCTGCAGCCGCACCACCCACACGGAGGCAGGGGTGGACTGACCATTTGGAAACTCGGACACTGCCCGAGGGCCTGGGCCAGTAGGGGGCCCCATGAGATGCCCCTGGTACCTTTTTCATAGGCTTTTTTGAGTTTGGGCAAGGACACAGGGGCCCCAGGCAGAATCCAGGCCCCTTTATATGCCATTACATGGTATGTTGTAATACACACTTTGTTGTTTATACAGTATTTTGTGGTAAATATATGGAGGAGCAGAACTTTTGTGTTACTTTTAGGGAAAAATTACAAGAAAATGCATTTTTTCTAGTTTTTCACTATTTATTCCCAATAGCAAAATACGTAAATAAAAATCTATGTATCCAAATTCTCTACCAAACTAAATCCTTGTCTGTCCTGGAAAAAAATTTTTTGTTAAGGTAGACTAGAGCAGCCTTTCTCAACCAGGGTGCCCAGGCACCTTGGGGTACCTTGAGGTTTCTTGAGGGGTGCCTTGGCAAAATGTCTAAAAATTGCCCAAAAGTTGTTCACAAGCCAGCAGATGGAACAAACCTGCTTTTTAGACAGTGGATAAATATGGTACCGCGCTCTAATCAATCATGCAACATCAAAACATAGCCTTAATCTGTGAAAACAATAATATTACCATAAATGTGCGTGTATATACTCAAATCAATCATTACAGTGCATAAAATCCATGTACTCATGCACGCTGTGTATTTAGTTAATATTCCGGAGGTGATCTTAGACTATATGGGAAAAATCCTTTCTGCAGTGTAGTGCCAGTCTCCCAGTAGATGTAGTACAAAATATGATACAATATACTCTCCTCTGTGACAAATTGAATAATGGTATGCAATAGAAACTGCACCGTGGGTCAGTATGATAAACGGAATCCTTTCCTTCCTCAGCAAGCTGCTTGATCACATCCTCCTTGAATGGGACATATGAAAAAGAAGAAGAAATGCATAGTGTCTTATCTGGGGTATAAGGTTTTAATGTGCGTTGGTAATGCACTCACATGTAAAAAGATAAAGATGCGCTTTGTGTATACATAAAACCGCAGACAGCGGTAAGGTCAGCCTTGTAGGTGTGCCTGCGCACACTGTCAATACTTGCCGTTTCTCAGTGCGGATACGTCACTTGAATATATATTTTTTGTGGAGTATTATGATATTGCACTTTTGGGTGATGGCCAGGGGCGGACTGACCATTTGAGCACTCGGGCACTGCCCGAGGGCCCGGGGTCAGTAGGGGGCCCCATGAGATGCTCCTGGTACCTTTCATTGTTTTTTTCATAGGCTTTTTTGGGTGTGGGCGAGGACACAGGGGCCCCATGATCCCCTATTGCCCGGGGGCCCCATGAGTTGTCAGTCCGTCCCTGGCGATGGCACATGTTTATATTTACACTGATTTATTGATTTTGATTTAAAGGTACAGCACAACAATTTATATTTGATTTATTACATTATTAACAAATAACTATAACCATTGCTACTACAGTATCCCTGTTTATTTGCTAATTCCCTCCAGCATTCTCTAGAATTGTAACATTATATCTCTTCTTACTAAAATATATTTATTTCCTATGATCCTCAGCTCCATCTAGTGGTCACAATGCAGTATTTTCCCAGTTCTCTACCCATCCCAACCCATCTTTACTACTGCCTGTAAAATTTGAAGAACATTTGACCATAAGAGAAAATTTGATTTTGTCTCATTCTCACAACAGCTACTATGATGCACAGAACAAATATACATGCAGTTTTGCTGGATGAACATCTCTGCATTTTTTATTATTATTATAATCATTAATAATAAAAAATAATAATAATAATTAATAAATAGGTCCTCCTGACTCTATCAGAAGCAGGAAAACTGGTTAGAGCTGGTCTTTAATGTAATTTAGTTTGTCAGTTAGGTCAGCATGGCTGTAAAACAATGGGGATTCACTATTCAATAGAACAATAGCCGTGCAGATGACAGATTTATGTGCACATCTCGTCATCTTCAAAGCATCCATTGCACTGCAATGTTTTACTGTAGAAGATACCATTTATTTGTATGTCCCATTATTTCACTTATTGAAACACAGTTCCAAAAAGGAATTTGCAATTAGAAAGTACTAGTTGTCACTTGTGTTAGTATATCTAAATCCAAGAACACAAATGTCTTGCAGCTTACCAGTCCCTAGATGGGGGGAATGCATTCATTTACTTTTTTTCAGGATTTTATCCTTTATGTCCACCTGGTGATCTTGCCAGTAATATACTTCCTATTCTAGTGTGGCAACATTCAAGAACTACTGTATATCTATGGAGGAGCATCACTTTCACCTTGGGAAAGGAAGCACTTTAAGACTACAGAACACCTCCCTTTCTCTTCTTTTAAATAACTAGGAATGACCTATCTAAAAATATATGTTACACACTTCATATGCAATTTACAATCATAATACATACAATATAATACATAATAGTCAGTGTACACGCACATGTCCCATGTTTGCTTTATTACATCTGTTTCTATTAGGGTGTTTTTGAGTGCTGCTGTACACATACTCACTCATTATTTTTACAATAAGTGCAGATTTTTGGTTTACAAAAATACAATTTTGCATAGCTAGTCATCCAATGATACTGCAGATACATTTGCTTGAAACAAACTAACCAGTTCTTGTGATAATGGGGCAACAGCCAATGTTCTTAGGCTATTTTCTCTTCTGGTTAAATGTTCTTCAAATATTATGGCCCAGCAGTAAAGATTTCTTAACTAGGAAGGAAGGAAGGAAGGAAGGAAAGGAAGGGTGGGTGGGAGGAAGGAAGGAAGGAAGGAAAGGAGTGGTTGGTGGAAGGAAGGGAGGAGTGAAAGGAAGGAAGGGGTGGGTGGACGGAAGGAAGGGGTGGGTAGAAGGAAGGGAGGGGTGGAAGGAAGGGAGTGATGGGTGGAAGCAAGAAAGGAATCAAAGAAGGGGCGGGTAGGTGAAGGAAGAGAGGGGTGGAAGGAAGGAAGGGGTGGAAGGAAGGGAGGTAGGGGTGGAAAGAAGGAAGGGAGGGGTAGGTGGGTGGAAGGAAGGAAGGAAGGAAGGAAGGAAGGAAGGAAGGAATGGAGGGGCAGGTAGGTGGAAGGAAGGGAGGGGTGGAAGGAAGGGAGGTAGGAGTGGAAAGAAGGAAGGGAGGGGTAGGTGGGTGGAAGGAAGGAAGGAATGGAGGGGCGGGTAGGTGGAAGGAAGGAAGGGGTGGAAGGAAGGGAGGTAGGGGTGGAAAGAGGGAAGGGAGGAGTAGGTGGGTGGAAGGAAGGAAGGAATAGAGGGGTGGAAGGAATGGAGGGTGGAAGGGGATCATTCTGTAGTCCACTGAAGGGGATGGAAACAATGCTAACTGATGACAGTTAGCATAGGCAGAGATCACAAAAAGATATCGGCTCAGGGTTTAGGCTAGGTTCACACATGTGCGGGTGATTGCCGCTGCAGGACCACAACTCTTCAGCAGCCACAACCACCCGCACAGAAAAACACGCTGCTGCACAGAAGATGTGTGGGGATACTATTCATCCTAATGGCACCCCCACACACTGGTAACCACACTGCACTTGAGTTTTCTGTGCAGGTGGCATTTTAAAAAATGGAACAGGTAACTTTTTACTGTTTTCAAATGAATGGGCTGACGTGCCAATGCAAAACACAGCGTGCAGAGGCACATATGTAAGAACCTAGCTTAAGACATTATTACACACATTCACAGAAGATATTGGGTTCAGCTTTAAAGTGGAACTAAATCCATCCATTTAACTTTTTCCCCAAACAGTTACATTCAAGGCATGCAATTGTCACAGTTGCTTGCTCTCTCAATCAAACTATCAAGCCATCAAATGGCTGGTGTCATAATTGACCACATGTGTAGTACCATTGCAGCTGCAGATAAAGCAAAGGTTAAGATGGCAGCTTTCTTGGCTGTAAAAGATCGGAGGGGTTAGTACTTTAACCATTTGCCCTCCAGAGGATTTACCCCCCTTCCTGACTAGGCCATTTTTTGTGATACCGCACTATGTTAATTTAACTGACAATTGCTTGGTCATGCAATGCTGTACATAAATGACATTTATATAATTTTTTTCCCCATAAATAGAACTTTCTTTCGGTGGCATTTGATCACCTCTGTTTTTATTTTTGCGCTATAAACAAAAAAAGACCGACAATTTTGAAAAAAAAAAAAATCTTTATCGTTGACTTTTTTTCTATAAAACATATCTAAAAAAAATAAAAAAAAAATCTAATTTGTTCATAAATGTAGGCCAAAATGTATCCTGCTACATGTCTTTCTAAAAAAATCCCAATAATTGTATTTTAATTGGTTTACTTGAAAGTTATAGCATCTACAAATGGCAGTATATGTACTGGAATTTAAATTTTTTTTATGCAAGTAATGGCGGCGATCAGCGACTTATTGCGGGACTGCGACGGGCATTCTGACACTGGGTAGGAACTGACTAACTGCTACTGACATCCCCAGTGACACTAATACAGTGATCAGTGCTAATAAAAGCACTGACACTGTACTAATGACACTGGGCAGGAAGGGGTTAACATCTGGAGTGATCAAAGGGTTAACTGTGTGTGTTT